CCCATCTGCCTGCAGCCCAGGGGCTAGAGGGTGGATGGACGAGCAGGGGGCCCTGCTGGCACCCTGGAAGGCAGGACAATGATCAGGGCATCCTGGAGGGGAGGATGACAGACAGGGCATCCTATTTTTGAGATGCCTCCAGAGCCAGCAGCGTGTGGAAGATGCTCTGCAAACCCAGGATCCCTTTTATTCTAACAGAGCTAAGGCTCTGGAAGGCGCCTCTGCAGCCAGTGGGGTTAATATGTGCTTTAAAGTTACTTGTCATGTAGGTGCCTCATCAACCAACACCTTCTCAGGCATTCATGGCCGCAGTGTGTGCTGGGCTGCCTCTCCTCCACCTCCTCCTGCCCTGCACACTGGGAACAGTGGGAATGGGGGGAACGTTGACCTGGGAGCACCAGGGAATCACGGCTCGACGTGCATGGTCCTGTCTCCTCCGTGGCATCCTGCTGGTCTGCCAGGAGAAGCTCTGATCCACGACCCACCTCTGTTTCTGTGGGAAACCTCTGTTTCCCACAAGCACGTGGAGAAAGGCAGCACCGCTGCCCCGACCGCTCTTCCTCCTCCTCCTCCTCCTGCCCTTCCCAGCCCTCCTCCTCCTCCTGCCCTTCCACACCGGCACAACTCTGCACGTGAAACAAAGCGCTCCTCAGCATCTGTTCTACATTTGCTGTTCTTTTCAAGTCCATTCCTTGGCCCCCTCCCCTCCGCTCAGCCGGGCCTGAAAATAGCAACTGTGGCTGCCATTATCTTGCATTATTTCAGAGTTTCGGTACCTCAACCAGCCCCCGGCCGGCCGCTCTCCAACCTTCCTTACAACCCCCCCGGGGTGGCCGGGCTCCCCAGCATCCTCCTTTCACCCTCAACCCTGCTCCTCCAGGTGCAAAAAGGTACTTTGCAGATGGAGTCCAGCAAAGGGCAACAAAGATGATTCAAGGATTGGAGCATCTCCCTTATGAGGAGAGACTGAGAGAGCTGGGACTCTTTAGTCTGGAGAAGAGAAGGCTGAGGGGAGACCTTATCAATGCCTACAAGTATCTCAAGGGAGGGTTGAAGGAGGAGGGAGCCGGACTCTTTTCAGCAGTTGCCAGTGAGAGGACGAGGAGCAATGGGCACAAGTTGGAACATAAGAGGTTCCACTCAAATATGAGGAGAAACTTCTTCACGGTGAGGGTGACGGAACCCTGGAACAGGCTGCCCAGGGAGGGTGTGGAGTCCCCTTCCTTGCAGATTTTCAAGACCCACCTGGATGCAGTCCTGAGTAACATGCTCTAGCTCTAGGCAATCCTGCTTCAGCAGGGGAGTTGCACTAGATGATCTCTATGGTCCCTTCCAACTCTAAAATTCAGTGAAATTCAGTGAAAACGGACGTGGTGGCACTTCTGCATACGGACGCACGCACGCGGGGATAAGCCAAGGCATCTGGGCAGCCTTATAGCGAGGAGGAGATGACTTTGAAGATGCTGCCTGGTCCCAACAGGCACACCAAGCTGCCCCACAGCCCCAGCAGGCAGCTGCCTCCCTGCCTGCTGCAGGTTAACAGCTCTCCCGGCAGGCAGCGCGTTGGCTGGGAAGCAAAGCCTCCTCAGATCTGCCTGGTTTTATACAAAGAAGGTGGGCTGTGCCCGTCCCTCCCACCCCGCTGATCACCCTCCGCTCCACCGATAATAATACCTAGCAATTACACCAAGCTTCCCAAGCTCTCTGCAGACGTTAATTAAGCTCTCTCTCCCGCAACGGAGACAAAGAAGGGAACCGCGGGGAAATTCCCAACTTGGGTTGGGATTTTTTTTTCGCCTCCCAGCTCCCCGTGGCACCGTGTGAGCCCCATGTGGGTGGTGGTGGTGGTGGAGGGCAGCCCTGAGAGCGATGGTTGCTCTGAGCTTGGCTCTCCCGTGACACATTTTATCTGTTTTTCCCTAATTTCTGGGCAGTCACATCCACTCAGATGGTGGTGCCACATTCCCGGTGCCAGTCACTGAGGTTGGCTCTGTCCTGTGGCACCTTCCCGGGTGCCACCAGCTCTGTGGGGGTGACACCTCAAGGTTGAGAGGTAGGAAAACCATGTTGTCCTATGGGCATGACACCAGCCTCACACCCAGCCTTGTCCCCAGGAGCTGGGGTGGCTTTGCAAAGGGACGTGAACCATCCTTCCCATCTGCCTGCAGCCCAGGGGCTAGAGGGTGGATGGACGAGCAGGGGGCCCTGCTGGCACCCTGGAAGGCAGGACAATGATCAGGGCATCCTGGAGGGGAGGATGACAGACAGGGCATCCTACAGGGCAAGATGACAGGTAGGGACACCCTCTCTGCACCCTGGAGGACACGATGGTGGGCATGGCAACCTGGAAGGGAGGGTGAGATGTAGGACAACCTGGAGGGGAGGATGACAGATAGGACACCCTGCCTGCACCCAGCAGAACAATGATCAGGGCATCCTGGAGGGCAGGACAACAGCCAGGACACCCTGGAAGGGAGGATGACAGGTAGGGACACCCTGCCTGCACCCTGGAGGACACGATGGTGAGCATGGCAACCTGGAGGGGAGGATGACAAGTAGGACACCCTGCCTGCACCCTGGAAGGCAGGACAACGGTCAGGGCAACCTGGAGGGCCGGACGACAAACAGGGCATCCTGCAGGGCAAGATGACAGGTAGGGACACCCTGGAAGGGAGGATGAGAGGTAGGACACCCTGTCTGCATCCTGGAGGACAGGAACGTGGGCATGGCAACCTGGAGGGGAGCATGACAGGTAGGGACACCCTACCTGCACTCTGGAGGACATAAGGCAGGACAACGGTCAGGGCAACCTGGAGGGCCGGACGACAAACAGGGCATCCTGCAGGGCAAGATGACAGGTAGGGACACCCTGGAAGGGAGGATGAGAGGTAGGACACCCTGTCTGCATCCTGGAGGACACGATGGTGGGCATGGCAACCTGGAGGGGAGGATGACAGGTAGGGACACCCTGGAGGGGAGGATGACAGGTAGGACACCCTGCTTGCACCCTGGAAGGCAGGACGATGGGCAGGACATCCTGGAGGGGAGGGTGACAGGTAGGGACACCCTGGAGGGGAGGGTGACAGGTAGGGACACCCTGGACGACAGGCCGGGCGCCTTGCCCGCACCCCGGCCATGCAGAGCAGCGCTGCCCGCCCTGGGGCGGGATGCGGGGGAGCGGAGGGGAGGGCTGTCCCGCTCTGCCCTGCCCGCACCGGGGCCGGGCCGGGTCAGGCCGTGCCGTACCGGGGGGCGCTGCCCGGTCCCGCCTTCCCGGGGCG